GAATTGAACCCCGCACGAAGTGTAAGGGCATACTCATGATTCCTGAGTTCCACGATAATGAATTATCGAATGGAATTGTACACGCTCACCAGAACTTGGGGGGGCAGCCATGACATGATCATAGTGTAAGGACACTCTCTCCGCCCTAAGAATCAAGTTTGATTCACTACCATGTCAATGGATGGAACAGCATATTTTTCCCTGCGAAAGATGCCGCATACCGATTAGAGAAGAAGAACTTCTCCATTTCCGATCCGCAGCTGTCAGCGACAGTGCAGATAGTCTCAAGAAGATTCTAGATGCACATACGAACAAATGACTTAAGCCAGATATGCCAGAGTCGAAATCAGTTAAATAAGAAGAGCAAGAACTCCTCATGCCTTCTCAACCAAATGCCCGACCCAGTCGACGGTACTTTGGGAGAGTTGCAAATGGAAGACTACGAAGTAGAACTTCGTCCGACGCTAAATCCTATTTACTAGGTGCTCACCATACTCCACGTTGTCCATACCAACACTCTCAAAGACAGAGGTTGAACGTCTCTGCAAGGAAGGAGTACTAAAGAGATAAAATGTTCCGAGTAGGGCTACCAACTTTTATCATTCCAAGAAATGATGGATCTGTACGATTCATCTCTGATTTTCGGGACTGAACAAAGGATTAAGCGGAAGCCTTTTCTATCCCAAAAATAGCAGGACATGCTCTTGAATCTAGATGGATTCAAGTTCGCTACTAGTCTAGACCTGAACATGGACACTATCACATCGAGCTGTCAACCCACTCGAGGCAACTCTGTACCATCGTACTCTCGTGGGGAAAGCACGAGTACCAGAGGTTGCCAATGGGCCTATTGTAATTAGTCCGACATCCTCAAAGGAAGATGAAAACACACATGCATGACTAAGAAAATGTCCGTGCATACTTTGATGATCAAACAATCCTAACTGACGACGATCTAGTAGATCACGTTGAATAGTAGATGAATTTTTCCAAAGACTTCAGGAAGTCGGATTTAAAATCAACACTACCAAGGTCCTTCCTCGAAAGGAAGAACTTGAGTATCTAGCCATGGATTATCGAGAAGGAATCCAACCCTTAAACTAAAGGACAATAGATGCGATCCAGCTATCGCTCCTTCTACGAATAGGAAGGAACTTCGTGGATTCATTGGACCAATGAACCACCACCATCGTTCTGAACAGACGTAGGTTACCCAGTATCCATGACCGGCTGAGGTTCATGGAAGAGAACGTGAGTCCCGCGCAAGGTCGAGAAGACTCTCCGGGATAAACATGGACTTCGTCGCAAGTTCAGCGCGTCAATCGTGACAAGATTCACAACATCCGTTTCGAAGCAAACTGGAAATACATCAAGGAACGTCGCCAACGACTTATCCAGAAAAAAAACGATAGGGAGAACGCGAACCGTGTCCCTCATCAAAACAATGTCAACGATACTGTGATGATCAACAGTATCAGCACCGCAAGTAGGTCAGCCAAAGTACAAAGGTCCTTACAATATAGACCGAGTCAATAACAATGGCACTGTACGGCTCCGACATGCTACCGCCAATGGCGGCCACAGTCTACCAGACTTGGAACATAAGGTATTTACACCCATACAAGGCCTGATCCCCTTGTAGGATTGCCATCGTGCGACGCACATGTCTACATCCAATCTCCGAGAGTGCCCCGCACTTTAATTCATGTGTTCTCCTTGTCCGACTGATATCGTGCCTTCCGTGACCCTTGTCAGGGGGCGAATGCAATACACGGCTCTCAGCCTTATTCGCGACTCGATCCTAGATAGGGTTTGAGTCGACTCATGACTGAGTCTTTCGTGAATAGTCATTGAGACAGGGTTCTCATGACGCCAGTCATACTAGGTCGATGGTGAAACATCGCGCTAGATATTTAGCTGGCTGGAGAGTTTCCACGCTACTAGATAAATGCTAGACGAATCTTCCACGCGTTCCGTTTTTGGATCGTGGAGTGAGTAGGATTGCTACCGCACCTACTCTATCACACTTTACAGTTCCCGCGGGAGTTCAGATCTACGATCCTTTGATTGTGGATCTCTCTCGTTGATTAGTTTTCATAGCTTTCTAATCCTCTCATAACTTTCATTCTCTCAAACTCAAAACACTCGAAAGATCTTTACACTAGCTTTTAGCGTAGTGCAATACTACAAGTCTATATGAGAGAGAACAAGCTCCTGAATCGCTTAATGATGACGTTGAGAATGAGGTCTTGGTCGAAGAAGTTTGCAAGGACGACGAGCTCCTGAAAGTCAACAACCCGCTGTCTCGAGACATCCCTGGTGGATACAAGGACCGGAAATGATCCAGTGTGCTGCGAAACAGCAGGTCCCTGCGCAACAGCCAAATGCAGCCCAATAGACGATCTAGTTGGATCGTTGTCTTGGATGATTTTGGTTACGACGATATGGGAATGGATGCACACAGAAACAGTGGCAGCGAGGATGACGACGTAGCTGATCACGAGAGTGCAGACGACGACGCAGAGGAAGATTCGATTCCTTTGCTCAAACAAAAGATACGCCTACTACAAAGGAACAACACAGCGTTTGCCAATGAAACCGACCGACAACGGGACGAGATTTCCGAGTTGAAAAGACAGCTCGGACGCGGGTCGATGGACTATTCTTCTTCGCGCCGACACTGAGGAACGAAGTAAGAGATGCACGAACTTCTCCCTATACACGTGAGTTCGAAGACGGATAAGTCAATCCACAGAGTGCTTCCCGTGACGAATGCAATACGAAGGATCGCTCGACAATATGTTCTTTCGCAGAGGAATGGGGACCGAGATCTATAAGCATATGGCATCGAGTTGAACACCAAATTGAGCATCGTCACGACAGCCATGCTGAAATTTTATGTTGCCTGCACGAATCGAATCCCCACAGCCCAAAGTACCGGTAACCTCTTTGTGCACAAGGTCAGCGATGACCGCTTACATGCCAGAGCTTGCCCTACTACAATGAATGTCACTATGATTGTACGACTACTGTACAGAATGAAGCCATGAGAGTTTTGCTTGTAAAGATTGTCTACTATGTGATATTGTTCTATGCTTATGTTGTATTTAAGATTGTAGCATAGCATCAACAATGATAGAGGTTGGTTGTCGGGTGTCACGGGTATTAACTTTAGACTTTTGTCGCGTGGAGGACGTTCGGACAAGCACTCTGCAATAGAGGCTGCCTAGCACAGGAACCACAACCTGGCTACCTTCCATGTGACCCTTCAATTGAACCAATTGTATTTATCGCTGCAAAATTGTTGTATAGCCCTGCAACCCACCAGATGTTTGCTCGTTGTGTATTGTATTGTGTTAGTAGTTCCCGCAATCTGTCGCCGCCGCCCCAAAACCTGTCGTCCTGGACTGGAATGTACCGGTCAGGCTTTCTGACTTGCCGTCCAGAAAGAGTTGTTGCTGTCTGAACTGTTGTTTGCTGATGTTCGTCGGTCAGATGTTGTATCGTCTTCTTCTTCTTGCCCTTCGCCTTTGGCTTCGTCAACTTTTTCTTGTTGGCCGCCGCTCGTCTACGTTTATTAATTCTAGGTTGTTGTTGTGCCACCCGCCGTGGCTTTGTCTTCATTTGTTCTGCAATCCTCTGAGATGCAATCGCTGCCATGCGCCTCTTTAATCGTCGCAATGTTGATTGTGCTGTGTCCATATTGTCCTCTTCGTCAACTCGGTTGCTGACCAGTGGTTCATCAGCATCAACTTGTTGTTGTTCCTCGACCTGTAGTGGTTCCTCATCAGCTACCACTTCCACCACTTGGCCAATCATGAATTTGGAATCCGTATCGTCCGAGGCTTCCAATCGCAGTGTCTTGTGCCGCCACATCAATTCCTTGACAAGGTCTCCACCTTCCTCCATCACTGTTGCAAGAATGTCATTGGGTACCACTCCAAGTAGCACGCCATTCATCATTCGCATCTCCAATACAATGGTTGTTGTCCATCCACACTGATCTTGAAGTGTTTCATGTGCCACTTTTGAACGTATGAGACCACTGCTGTGCATGTGGGAACCACCACTGCTTCACACGTGATTGTGGCATCGGATGCCATCTTGTTGTCGTCGACAGGCGAGACTTTTTCTAATGTCTCGACGTCTTTAGTTGTTGTTGGTTGTTCTTCTACTACTATGGGTGCTGCATCTTCCCTGCAGACTTCCTTGACCTTGCGATAGACAAATCGTCTTTTGGCAATCTGTTCTCACGTATTCAAGGTGCAAATTTCGACAACTGCCTCGAGGTCTTGATGCACGGCATCATTTTGAATGTACATCGTGTTGTAGGTACAGTTTGTCGTTTTGGAACCATTGGTTGTTGGTGATCCAGCGGGCCACTTGTTGGTATCCGTACTCTTGAATCAACTGCACTAGATCCAAGACGCGTTCGTGGGTATACACTCCTAGTGGCAACACCTGCCACTCCTGCAAATTGTTGGTTTGGGCAACCAAATCCATGGTTCCACCCACTGTTGTTCATTATTGATTTGCACAACATGATCTTGTGCTCCGCCAATCAATACCCAGCCGATTCAGAACTTGCAGTTCAATGGCTCTGTTTATTGTCATTTATTCCCTCCTGCTGTGCATGCAATACTAGTACCATAATCTGTAAATGTTGTTGTTGCTGCCCCAACCCAACTGTACCGCCTCGGTACATGCTCCCTCGTCGAGCCCACGCTTCATTCGTTGGTACCTGGCGTGGATGTTGTGTGCTTCGTCATGGTCCTCTGAAGCGGCTTTGTGAAGGTGTCGGATCAACAACGAAAACGAAGAAGAGGAAAGGCCCACACCCACACAGTTGGACCAACGCAATCCCAGCTGCGCCGCCCGAGGAGTTGTTGTCAACCTGGTAAAGATTCATTTATTAGTCAAATATATTTATAAAATATGTATGGGTGCACAATCTTGCATCGCGACTGTCACTCTGCCACCATCAAACCAGCAACAACAAAGAAGCTGGCACACCAGCGTCGGGGAAGACTCATATATCCCAAGACGAAACAACCTTCCAACAAACACAGAGAAGTTAATTGAGGGAACGCTTCTCTTCCAAATCGGACTCGTGAACAACAGTGTCCTTGGTCTGGATTTCTGAGCAATCCTCATTAAAAACACAGCCACAACTCAACAAATACTTTTTACCATCTTCAATCTCCTTCGCTGTCTGAGCCGAGAACCCCAACTCTTTCAATGCAAACACAAATGCAACGGAAGGACGGTAGGCCCTGCAGATTCGTTGGAGCGCCAAATATCTCATGATTGGAACGCTACGGGAAATCAGCATGCCCCCGAGGTTGGGGCACGACTTCGTGAGCTGAAAGAACTTGTGATAATCCATCTCCGCCACGGCAGCACGAAGCTGCAGGGAATGCTTGATGGCAGGGTCATTTCGTTGGGAAGAAGTGAGAGACAACATCAATTTCAACAAGTCGGAAGACCCGCCCTTGTAACCCTTGTTGAGAGACATGACAACGAAATAGATCATCCTGTACGCAACAAACTCGTTTTCATTCTCGAGCGACTTGGCATCATCCAACTTTTCATACAAAATTTTGAGTTGCGTCTGGGCCTGGTTGAACTCGTTAATGTCTCCCTCTTGCAGAGCAATCCTGGCATGAAACTCATACGCTTGCACTGTAAAGGAATTTTGAATGTGCTGCACTGTCAAATCTTGACGAACCGCCTTCATTTCGGCACAAAACCACAAATAATCACGACGAGACTTTGACTTCCACTCTTTCTTGAGATTCCCCAAGTGCTGTTGAAGAATTTCCAAGGGACGGACCAATTCTGCTTTGGGAGGTGCTGTGAGACGAAGATACTGTTTTTCCAACTTTCGACAAGTTCCCTTCACCTTCATTTGTTCGTAATCTGTTTCATCCAACTTCTTTGAGGATCCGCCAATCACACCCTTGCCCATGTACCGCGCATCAATGCCCTTGGCCGTGGCTTGACGCACATCGGCATTGCCACCAGGCCCAGAAAAACGATTGGCACGCTGGGCCATTGTCGACGAGGAGCGCTGGAATCCAGCATCATCCATGGGCTTCTTCTTCTTGGCGCTGTTGGGATTCACATACTTGTTGCTGCCCTTTTTAACGCCAAAATTGGGAACTTTGATAAAATCTTCGTTTTCGTCGGCCGGGCCGTAATGATTTTGATACTTACTACTGGATTGCTGCCGAGAGGAGTACTGCTGATGAGATGTTGATGATGAAGCTGTGGGGTTAGGGTGAGGAGAAGAGGATGAAGGGCCGTAGTATCCACCATTATTTGGACCTCCTCTCGTGTGACCATAATACATGTCAGTATTCGATTTCACTTTTTGTTTCTTACTGGAGATGCTTTGTTGCAATGAGAACGAATCACGCTTTCGCGAGTAATCAGGCAGAGAGATGAGAGGGACCGCATCCCAATTCTTGGTATGCAAGGTCCCATCCTGCAGTGCTTCGGCAATCACCCGTTCGGTTTCCTTTTGGACTTGCTTTTTCTGTTCCTCGGAAGCGCACTTTTCCAAGCATCGATGGACATACCTCTTTAAACCATCAGGAGGACCTCCTTGTTGTGGTTTGGCTGCTGCTGGTCTTGCCTGTTGCTGCGGAGCACGAGCCCAGCGTGACTCTTTCTGGGGTTGCGCTGCTTGCTGCTGTTGTGCTGTGGCAGACGCCTCCGGCGCCGGTGGAAGTTCGAACAGAGGCTCCACGTGTGGATTCGAGTGATAGTGATGAGCGGCTCTGCTGGACTGGTCCGCCCAATACTTGGCCCAATCGACCTGCCTCTGGGCTTCCACGCGTTGTGGTGAATTCCCAGGCAACTGTTGAACGTTTTGTTCCCGCTCCTTGGCTCGAGCATTCCACTGATGATAGTACTGCGTGTACTTTGCCACCTTGGCCGCAGGCGTCTCCGCCGCAGTATTGTTGTTCACTGCAGCAACTCCGCCGTAGGAGGCCGTCGAGAAAGTACTGCTGCGACCATTTTGTGGCTGCGCAGCCGCGGACGACTGAACCCAAGCATTTCCATTCCAAACCATGCCGCCAGTGGACACTGCGCCACCACCGGCTTGTTGGTATTGATATTGATGATTGGCAAACATGACGAAATATTTATTGTGAACCTGAGGAAAAGTCAAGCACAAAGCAGAACCAAGTGAGTGTCACGTAGCGCCCAGTACGGTACTGTACAATTTCGACGTGCCCCCATCTCTCCTTCTGACTGAAGGTGTCAGGTCTCTCCAAAACGCAACTTACCGAGCGTATGAAACTGGTAAGACGAAAGAGAAACACAACAATAAGCAAACAGTAGGGGATCTTGATTGACTAGATCTGTTCTTGGCGTGTCACTCCAACAAAGAAAAAGGACCAAAGAAACAAGAGGGGCTCGGCTGTGTTCGCTGCGTTTGTGTGATTTCGTCGAGAACTGCTGCGGAGGCTGTGCGATGCTGCGGAGAGGAGGTGGTGCCGGACACTGCCGGAGACTCAACATGCGATGACCACAGTTGAAAGATTATGTAAAATACACGACTGGTTGACACCACGCAGGGCGAGGAGACCATTCGATTGATTCGAATCATTCGATGCATCCTTCGGTTCTGATTCGACTCGAAATCAATCGTACGGTACGTACCTGGTACCGTCCCACAGCTCCCACCGCCATGGTCAATGTTCTCAGGATCGTTCCTAACCAGTCATTCTGAGCCATTTATTCGTCCCTGCATACGCGAAATCAAGTTAACTGTTAAAATCGGCTTGCTTTCCCTCTTTTTGCCCATTAATTTCGGTACGCCGTATCAGTAATTTTGCATTCTCAATTCGCCGTACCGAAATTATGAGGGAAAAAGAGTTCGCGTAGGACCAATCAAAACGCTTGAGCCAGCCGAACTCAGTCACGCCCACAAATCCTCAACTCTAATAAGCAAGTTCTCTTATCTTTTCGAAATTCCATTGAGCGAACCTGCTACTGTACCAGTACAAGCTTTATCTTTTCGAATTCGGTACTGTACCGGTAGCAGCGGCTACCAACAGACCAATCTCGACAACCAAGAAGGTTAACAAGCCAAACCAAGCCATTAACCTACCGGTATCTACTACTATTGGAAGCTTGTTAGCCTTCTTGGTTGTCGAGATTGGTCTGTTGGTAGCTAGCTAGTACGACCGTACGGTAGCTTCAATCCTGTTATCTCTGAGTGACGAGTGGATTCGATTCGCGTACCGCGTATGTGTGTCACATGGATAGGAATGAAAACATGATACGTACGCCTAAATAAATCGATGAAAATAAATGTGTTTCGCGTATGCACGGAGGACGCACATGGAGTTTGGTTAGGAACGCACCTCAGATGGCAACTACTCAGAAAAGAAACATAAAAGAAAACATATCACTCTAGCTAGCTCATGGTTGTATCCACCACGGAGTGTATGAAGGGGTTCAGAATTCCCGTTAGGTAACCTTTTACATTACTAGCTAGTGTGGTTTAACCATCGTGCCTAAAGCAATAAGGGCCGAACGGCTTCCCATCCACATTCCTTCAGCGTCTTGGCTCTTCGCTTCCACCCCAAGATGCTGTATTTGTAGTTTAGCTGCAAGTGCCAGAAAAGGAACATGTATATCTTATAAAAGATCTTGTGCGTTCTCTTCCCACACGTTTTCATTTTTGACAAACGAGTTCAAAGGTGATGCATCCTGCATCCAGTAAATTCTAACAAGGCGGTTGCCTGTGGCTGGGAGAATGACACGTATGGTTGAACCATCGTGCCTGAGCAAGGCTGCAACGGCTTCCCATCCAGCCACTTTCCTTCAGCGTCTTCACTTCCTCCCCAAAACACTGTATTTGCAGTTTAGCTGCAAGTGCCAGAAAACGGAACATGTAGATCTTTTAAAAGATCTTGTGCTTTCTGTTCCTACACCTTTTCATTTTTGACAAACGAGTTAGCAGGTGGATGCATGCATCCAGCGCAGTAAATATCTAATAAGGCGGTTGCCTGTAGCCGGGAGCATGTATGCAGAGGTGGGGTATCGGGGTATCGCTTGTGGAGCTGCAGTCAGACTGCAGTGACCAACTAACTCAAGAAAAACAAATGGCTTGGGCTTGACTTGAGGTGAGCTGAAGACGTGGCCTGTCTTGCAGTTCATTTTCTGGAGAATACGTGTACTCGTAATAACTCCCTCTGTCGCCAAGCTATGGGCTACCGGTATGGGTACCAGAACAATGGTCCGCTACAATTAATAGCTAGTACCTACATCCGTAGCTAATAGCTAGCTCTAGCTAGATACATGTACTGAGTAGCCAGTTGCCAAACTCGTCTGCTTGAATGTTTCCAGCACAGCCACACTAGTCTAACAGCTGTCCGTACACCCGTACTATGACATCTCTACTAGCTAGAGTTCCATGGTGTGCAGCAACAGGAGGAGCAAGCTCTTGGAAATTGATAATGACAATGTTGAGGGTTGAGGGTACCGGTACCTGGTACGGTGAGAAAGCTGGGGTGAAGCACAAAGACCTTGGCCCTAAATCTGAAAATCTACACAAGCTTGTTACGCAATAACAATGACAACCCAATGCCACAAAGATTTACTTCACGTTAAACAACATTGTGTTCTTCCGGAGGCTAACTTCTTTTCATCTGGTTGGAAGAAGAAGTCAGGTCATTGTGGTTTTATTAGAGAGTGTCACATTGTAACCCAATGTTCCACCAATGGCATCAGACTTTTCTGAAATCGAAAGGCCATTACTTCGAGTAAAAGTTTGCTGCCCTTGCTTGGTCCATTGCGGGCGTGGTAAAAGAACGTTTTGGTGGTTGCATAATCTTTGGCTTGCTGGAGTATTGGCTGTGTGTAGTAGAGGCAAGCTTTTTCGCTTTTTCTCTTGGATCCCACTCTCTCACTTCATCAACAGGAGACTGCTGTTACCCCTGATCTTGTTGTTACCATCATTTCTATCATCATCCCAACCATCCTCCATTAGTTAGTCTAGCAAGATGGTGGAAGGAGGTATCTATGAGAGCTGCCAAGCCATTGTTACCCCTGGTGACATGGACGCCCTCTTGAAGTGTGCTATTCAACACATGGAAGCAGCCCAAGCCACGACTGTCACGAACGTGACCAGCTACCTGCTTATCATCAGTGGTGCTCTGGTCTTCTTTATGCAAGCTGGGTTTGCCATGCTCTGTGCTGGGAGTGTTCGAAAGAAGAATACCCAAAACTCGATGCTCAAGAATCTTTTGGATGCCTGTGGAGCCGCCATAGCGTACTTCTGTGTGGGGTATGGCTTTGCTTTTGGTGGGGACAGTACAGCAACAGGAACAACGTTCATTGGGACCGAAAATTTCTTTGGAACAGGGGATATCGATCTACCAGTCTTTTTCTTTCAATACACTTTTGCTGCTGCCTCTGTCACCATTGTTGCTGGGGCCCTGGCAGAACGATGCAAGATGGCTGCTTATTTGTGCTACAGTTTCTTCCTTACTGGGTTTGTCTACCCTGTTGCTGTGCATTCGGTCTGGTCTGTTGCTGGGTTTCTCAGTGCAGGGAACTCAGAACCTCTATTGGGCATTGGAATGGTGGATTTTGCCGGTTCTGGTGTGGTACACATGACAGGTAGGTAGTGCTCCATGCCTGCTGACGAGGGACCTGGGACCTTTGCTTCCATCTCTTTCTTACCCACACGCACTGCTTCTCTTTACGTTTTCCTAGGTGGTACCACTGCCTTGATTTCCATGTATGTGTTGGGATCTAGGAGAGGTCGCTTCTATGATCTTCAAACTGGTGAACCATTGGATCAACCCAAGGCTATGCCAGGGCACAGCGTTTCCCTTCAAATGCTTGGTAGCTTCATCTTGTGGTTTGGATGTACGTCGTATTCTCGTTCGCATCCCTTCACATCTGTTTTAGCAGCCTACTCACACCCAATCGTTATTCTTTCTCGTTGCGTAGGGTTTGGATTTAACCCTGGGTCAGCCCTTTTGTTAGGAAATGACAATCCCTACCAAGCAGACGTTGCGGCTTTGTGCGCCGTAAACACGTTCCTGTCTTCGTCCACCTCCTGTATCAGTGCCCTATTTTACAAAGTAATTGTGAGCAAAACAAGGACAGGTGAAGCTTCCTTCGATTTGATCGCAGCCATGAACGGAACCTTGGCCGGATTGGTAGCGGTACGTACAGATTCGATTCGACTCGAATCTCTCTCGTCAGCAAATGCTACTTTGTATTTATTCACCGAATCCGCAATTCAATTCCCTATTTTGTCTGCAGATTACGGCCGGATGCGCCACAATGGAACCTTGGGCAGCGATCGTTACGGGAGCGATTTCCGGTCTATTGTACCTTTGGTCGTCTGGTATTTTGATCCAGCTCAAATTGGACGATGTTGTCGATGCTGTTCCGGTTCATCTCGTCAGTGGACTCTGGGGTGTCCTCGTTACAGGACTCTTGTCAGAACCTGAGCTCATGCGTCAGGCCTACGGTACCGCGATGCACCCCGGCTTCTTTTACTCGCTCAGCCGAGGGTCAGCCGATGCTAACTTGCTGGGATGCCAAGTTATCGGCTCACTATTTATCATGGGCTGGAGTGTGGGCACTATGCTTCCCTTTTTTTTTACTTTGAATTACTTTGGCATGCTGCGTAGCGAGGCCGTGGAGGAATTGGTCGGGTTGGACGTCTGTTACAATGGGGAAGAGATCTTTGCCACGAGCAAGGCCGGGAGTGACGGCGAAGATCAAGAGCTTCGTGGGGAATATCTGGACGCCTATCAAGACTACAGGAAGGCCAAGCAACAGGAAGAGGAAGCAAGGAAGAAGAGGTCGAAGGATCATTCGAACGATGGCACCAACGAGGACAGCAGCGAACCTGACGTTATGTTCGCTCCGGCCTCCGACGACGACGACTCGGATGGGCCTGCTGAGGACGATCGTTTTTTTGATGACCAAACTTCCGTGTAGGTTTTACCTATACCGGTGCCGGTGCTGGCATGGTTCCGAGGACAATGGGTAGCGCTCCTGGATGAACTTTTGGATGATTTTGATCGAAGTCGCTGTTGCGACTTGCATTTTGCATTTTGACAACATTTTGTACATTAACGACACTGTTCCCTTTTTTAAAAATTGAGTTCGTTTTTCATTTTGGCTTGTTTTGGGACTCTAGCCTTTGACTTCCTTGGAAAGTGTGCGAAGTAGCCTCATTTGACCACTGCTTCCGGTACGAGATGCATCGTTAGGACGGTGATTGGATGATACCTGAAGCCGAGTCGAATGACCATAGCAAGCGTGCTTCGAACCCAAGCAAAGAGAGGAAGCAGCATCATGTGCTGAGGGGCGCCAATGGTTTTAATTCGATGGGCGAAGGGAACTGTGTTCGGAGCGTTTTTGCCAAAGACGAAGCCAAAGCAAGCAATCAGCCCTCACAAGTCAATTGATTGATTCTCCCGATCAAGCAAAGCACCGCATGGCCATTACGAATACATGTACCCCAAGGAAGCAAACGCGCCCAGGACAATTATGCCAACAGCTGGGAGAAGCGTCGAAAGGATTGATATCGATGCGAGGTCCAGGGTCCAACGACGACATGATCATGACCAAATCCAGCGATTCTTTACGACCAAGGCAGGAGCCCAATTGCTGACGACAATGAAATTGACTGAGTAATGGTACAGTACTCCTGCGCTCGTGCGCCTCATCTGCACTTTTATTTCCGTTTCGAGCTGCATCCATAGTAGATTCGAAGCTAGCTAGATTCGATTCGTTTCTGATTCAACGGGCTCTCATGTACCGTACTGTATGTCATCTTCGTCATCGTTGCACTCTCGGCTCTCGGCCGATTTCTTCGAGATGGACCCAACCACGACAGCTACCCGGTACTGGTACCACGACCATTGGAGCGACTTCGTCCCAGTTAGATCTAGTCTAACTTTTCCGCATCTTCAATGATGAGGCCTCCAGGCTCCAGGCTGGCCATCGTGTGGGAATTGAGAAAAGAGCTTTTGCTGAAAAGAATTAACATTGCGATGTGTCTCCAATTCCTCATGACCATGTCTAGGCCCTTACATTGGTCTTTCCGGAAGGTACTTAGTGACTCGAGTGAGATCTGTACTCAAGAGCTGAGTATTGTGTTAATTGGAGAAGAGCATTTCAGAAACTTTCCTTCATTTCATAAAATTTCATGACCATGTATGTCTGGCATAGAAGAGCCTTTCGGAAACTACTGGTTAAAAATGAGAAGAGATTTTGAGAAGCTTTCTCTTCTCGAAACCTGTTTTGCTGAAATTTCATTGGAGCGAAGAGTGAAGACATCGAAGGATGTCTTCGATGACCTTAAAGGCTAAAGGGCGACACCTCTTCTACCCTTTCTGTGCCTATTCCTTGCCACCATGACCATTGATGACAGCTTCACAGGTAGTCTAATGAGACACGAGCAAGGAACTAAAGCGACAAGCTAGCGACATAAATTTGGTTTGGTCCAACAGGGAAAGCCCTTTCGAAGAGACGTACTAGTAAAGAGTACCACAGCTAGCTAGTACCTCTCAGTAAAGAGGAGGACAGAGAGAAGATGACGATACCGACGAAGCCCAGCGCTGGTGGTCTCTATGAGTTTTGCCACTTCCACACGGAGGAAGGCGACACGGAGGCCATGATGAAGTGTGCAATCGATCTAATGGAAGGCCAGCAAAACAGAATAGAGTTTAGTGCCACTAGCTATTTGCTTATACTGAGGTGAGTCGAGTTGAGTCGAGCCTTCGTGGAGAGGATGCCGCAGTGCTAGTGGTGATGAACAGAATTGACTAATATGTATTGCTTCTGCGATGCAGTGGTGCTCTGGTCTTCTTTATGCAAGCTGGGTTTGCCATGCTCTGCGCTGGAAGTGTGCGAAAGAAGAACACCCACAATACCATGCTCAAGAATCTTCTTGATGCCTGTGGAGCAGCCATTGCCTACTTTTGTGTCGGGTTTGCTTTTGCTTTCGGTGGGGACAGCACAGCAACAGGAACGACTTTCATTGGGACCACAAACTTTTTTGGAAAGGGGGATATTAGCTATCCCTTCTTCTTTTTTCAGTACACATTTGCCGCAGCTGCTGTCACCATCGTTGCTGGGGCCTTGGCAGAACGATGTCAAATGGCGGCCTACCTTTGCTACAGTTTTTTCCTTACGGGATTTGTCTACCCTGTAGTTGCTCATGCCGTATGGTCTGTTGCTGGATTCCTCAGCTTTTCCAACCCTGAACCTCTCCTTGGTATTGGTATGATCGATTTTGCCGGCTCTGCAGTCATCCACTTGACAGGAGGAACCACTGCACTTATCAGCACCTACCTGTTGGGATCCAGAAGAGGGAGGTTTTATGATTTGGAAACGGGAAAGGAGCTTGATAAGCCAAAGCCCATGCCAGGGCACAGTGTTTCCCTCCAGGTATGCATACGCGTGTCCAGGAATTCTGCACGATCTCGCCCTCCTCCCGCTTTTTTCTCACAATTGGTTTCTCGTTCCTCTCACCTTTTTTGTTTCCAGGTTCTCGGAACTTTTATTTTGTGGTTTGGATGTAAGTCAATCTTGTTTTAGCCCCTTGACGTCTTTTTGTTTTCGTCGTACTCATAAAAATGCATCCATCCATTCACACAACAGGGTTCGGCTTCAACGGTGGGTCAGCGCTTTTGATACCAGCAACAGAATACCAATCCGAAATAGCTGCTGTCTGTGCCATCAACACATTCCTCGCGTCCTCCTCCGGATGCATTGCGTCTATGCTTGTACGTTTGATCAAATTTAAGCGAAGCGGGGGTCATGCGGTTTTTGATTTGACATCCGCCATGAATGGCACTCTTTGTGGTCTAGTCGCGGTACGTTTCAGGCAGTCGGTCGGCAAACAAGTATTTTGGCGTACATTATTGCTCTGCAAGTACCTAACAGATCCATCCTTTCGTTTTTTTGTCCGCGCACACAGATCACAGCTGGTTGTGGTACACTGGAGCCTTGGGGAGCCATAATTGTGGGGCTCGTTGCCGGAATTATGTATCCTCTCGCATCGGACCTGTTAATCTGGTTGAAGATTGACGATGTCGTGGATGCTATTCCTGTCCACTTTGTCGGTGGGTTGTGGGGAGCATTGGCCGTCGGTCTCCTTTCGGAGCCAGAGCTCACACGGAAAGTTACGGGCACATCACATCACCCAGGCTTTTTCTATTCTCTCTCGGAAGGACATTCTGACGCTCGCCTCCTGGGCTGTCAAACAATTGGGGTGCTATGCATTATCGGCTGGAACACAGTTACAATGCTCCCTTTCTTTCTGGGACTGCACCGCCTCAACTGGTTCCGTACAGAGGCTGTGGAAGAAATTGTAGGTTTGGACCTCTGCTTCAACGACCTGAGCCATCACAAGGGCGAAGACATTGAACAAGAAAACCAAATGCGAGACGAGTACTTGGTAGCGTACGAAGAGTACAAATTGAAGCAGGTCCAGAGAAAGAAGCATGGCGGAAGCACTTCGGACGCCCGTTCAATACGATCTGGCGGATCTGGTATCTCGTCCCAATTCGTGGATACGTAGCCCGAACCGTCTTTGCCCTACCTCGGAAGACATGCTTCCCTACCCTACAACGTCTCGATTCGATTCCACTGCCAACAGCTCTGACAATCGTGGTACCATCCTGCAACGAGCACTCCAACCTCCTCAAATCCGACCTTCGCCACTACGAAGTCGATTCTAACGCAGAGAATACATAGCCTACCTTTCTTTTAAAAAAACATTAATAGCTGCATATTTTGAACAACCTGGCTAGACACACATAGAGATTCATTGTTCATCTAGCTAGCTAGCTCCTGGCAAGCTACTAGTTGAGCTAGCATGACGCCTTGTCCTCGAGCTGTGTACTTGCAAACAGGTGATTGAAAGTTACTCAATCCCTTGAGTGACGTCACTCAACCAACCTCGTCACACCTTGTTTTCTAAAGGGAGCTTGCCACTTGCCACAGCTTCCAGCTCCAGCTTTCCGCCTTGGGAGCACGGTCGAATAGCTAGCTAGGAAGTCCTACGGTAATGTATTGATAAGCAGCAAGAAATAGAGGCGGCGATGACGACAACGAGCAACGATGAGGCTATCCAAAATGATGTCGATGATACAGCTGCCCATGCTGGGACCACGGAAGCAGGAATTGTCCGAGGAGTTTCGCGGTCCGTGGCTCAACGCGCAGTGGCAGCTCGTACAGCAGGCCGCGGCTTGGCACAGCTTCCATCCGTCGGGAGTTTGCCAAGATCTGCTGCCAGAAGGACCCGAGTGCCCGTTCGACAGGTTGCCAAATTGACAGATCGAATGTCCACTGGTCTCGATGTATGGGAATCCGCCAGTGGTAGTGGTGGTAGTTCCAGTGCTACAGACCAACAATCGATTCAACGTCGCTTTGCCCGTGCTCAGGCATTTGCAGGTTCATTGGTCAAGAATACTGTCCTTGGGGCGCTTGTATTTGAGACCTATTGTGGAGTTGTGGCTCATTCCGATACTATTCTATCCAGCATTATTCACTTCTCGCCTCATCGAACCAACGGTAGTGACGAGGGTAATATAGATCACACCTCCAATGACGACAAAGATATTTTTGAGGCAGCTCCCATTCCAATACATTTTTTAGCTGGAGCAGCGGCCGGTTCTATGCAGGGTATTGGAGGAATCATCTGGGATACCACATCCGAGAGTATCAGCAACCGAAAGATGTCGATGCCAAAGCTACCATTGCTCACCAGCGGCGTTGGCCAACATGCAGCTGCCCATTCCGTTCTCTTTGGTTCGTATGAGAGCTTCAAACGCTCCTTCTTGTGGGCTTGGCAGTACTGGGACCCCGAGGTAAATCAACAAGTCCTCCTAGGCGGTGGGAAGGAATCTTTTATGGCTTTACTGCCACATCAGCGGCTTGAATATCTGTCAGTTATCACAATGGCAGGAGGTCTGGCAGGACAATTCCAGCACGTTATCAGTTACGCCTTGGAACAGCCTCGGGAAAGACGTCTTGTAGTAAGCCAAGCTCTGCCTTCACTGAGGAGCATGCTTTGGGCGTTTCCTCCCAGCGCCATTGCCTTCTTGGCCTTTGAATATGGCAAAGACAGCGTTGCGGGGATTTCTGGAGAAGATGAAGAAGTCCTTTAGATCATCAGAGGCGCCTCTTCAGATCTACAGTGTGCAACTGGGTGGCCCTCAAGTGGCCAATCGCACTCGTTCAACAGCGAACCTTCAGGGGCTCCACATCAGGTCAGGTTTGAGGAATCTATCTATTCTGCTGACAATCCCTCCAGTTCGAGCAATCCAAGTGCAACTCAGCGGGTTCCGATGTGCAATGCAGCACACAGTGAGCATCATGCAGGTGCTGAAAGAAGCCACAAATGACGCCGGAGATACTCTCACTTTCAAGAACCATTCCCGACCAACACAGTGACAGAACGTGCACTTGAAATTCTGAAGCTCGATCTCAGACCCGCTGGCGACTTCACTGTTTCCTGGGCAACGCAACCTATTGCAATATTGCCAGCCAGGAACAAAGAGCAGTTGCCGCGTTGCGGCCAATATTATTTGGACTCGACTCGACTTGACTCTGACTCCTCTGAGACTCGACTCGACTCGACTCGACTCGACTGTCACTCCACCGGCTGTCACCCTTTCAAGAACTTTCAACACTGTAGGCGGTTTTGGGGCTGGGGCAGGATTTTGATCGCGGGCTATTCGATTTAAGGTGGAGTTGCTGTGGAACAGTTCCAACTCCCACTTTCAGTTCTGTGACCGTACATTTGTACAACAAATCGGATACTAAGTTCTCCTGTTGCCACCCCACGCAATCACAGTTCATTTATTCAAGTTGGCTGAGTTGCATGCTCGTGAAGAAACTGCAGAGCGAATGGCTCACAATACATGCAAAACTTGGTATCGACAACAAGGTACCATTATAAACACTTCCCACAAACAAGCTCCCAAAACAAAAGAAACATGAACGTAAACACTCATCACAATGAAAGCGTGAGGCGCATGTTGTCCTGTGGTTCTGCCACTGCTGGTAAAATGAAGAACAAGAGAGCAAGCATCAAGTTCAGTGCCAACAGTTTCATTACACAATGCAATGGTTGCTTCTTTGACTACTACGACGTCGTTGAGTTGCTTGGCGAAGGTGCATACGGCGAAGTTTTCACCTGCCGACACAAGGAATCTGGGGAACTGCGAGCCGTGAAGATTCTGGATGTATCTGACAGCCGGCAGGCAAGTCTCGTTCTGAACGAGTTCAATGTTCTGCGAGGCATTGATCACCCAAATCTTCTAAAGATCTACCATCTCTATGAAGATGTCGAAGAAGAAACGTGCTACATTGTCTCCAGTCTCTATGAAGGCGGTGAACTATTTGATGAGATTGAGGAATGGGGGAACCTCTCAGAGCAGAGTACTGCCGTCATCATGAACCAATTGCTTTCTTGCGTCAACTATTGCCACTCCAATGGCATTGTTCATCGTGACCTCAAACCCGAAAATATCCTCATGGCAGATGAGAACATGCATTTGGAAGATATCAAAGTCATCGATTTCGGCTTGGCCGCAACCTTCGATGATTACGAGAACGACCGGTTTACTGACAAGGTCGGAAGCGCTTACTACATCGCCCCTGAGATTCTGAACGGCTCATATGGTCCAAAGTGCGATGTGTGGAGTGCCGGTGTCATCGCGTTCGTGCTCCTGTCCGGCGATGCTCCCTTTTACGGAGAAACTGAGGCCGAGGTGCTGAAAATGGTAGTTAAGGGTAAATACTCATTCGAAGAGAACGAAATCTGGGAAGAAATCTCGATAGAGGCTCAAGAGTTTGTGGCATGGCTGCTCACCTTCGATGAGGCAAAGCGACCCACAGCCAAAGAAGCTTTGAGCCATCCCTGGTTGAAGAAGACACGACGAATCTCATCGTTGCAGCAAAGAAAGTCCAAGACTTCGATGAAGTCGTTGTCAAATCTTGAGCTTTTCTCAGCAGAGTCAAAGTTGAAGCAGGCCGTCTACGCGTTTATCTCGGGCCAATTGATCATGGCTAACGAGAAGGAGGAAATTGATGAGCTCTTTCGAGCCTTGGATACAAACTGTGATGGGAAACTAACCAACGATGAGCTGAAACAAGGATACAAGGACCTCTTGGGCAGAGACCTTAGTGAACAGGAGCTCGAGGACATCTCTGGCCGTGTCAACTTTTCTGGAGGTGGCGCTATAACATACAGTGAGTTTGTGGTTGCATCCATGATGTCATCGCGAATTCTGGACGACGGCAGGTTGCGAGCAGCCTTTTCCGAGTTCGACAGAGATGGCAGTGGTGTTCTCACAGCTGATGACCTTTGTGAAGCCCTAGACCTCGCAAAGGAAGATGAAGCCACGAAAGACTTGCTAGACAAGATCATGGACCAAATCGACACCGACAAAGACGGTTCAATTTCATACGAAGAATTCAAGCGAGCTATGCTTTCGCCATCCTGCAATAGTGAGATGTCCACAGAGAAGAGACGGCCCGGGAAAAAGCAGTTTACCTCCAGGAGGTCTTGGTGTGTCAAAGTAGTCGAGGAGCCAGTTGGTTCTCACCCGGAGAAATCTTTTGAACTAAGGAAAAGCCAAAGCCTTGCCTTGGATGGTTTGTTTCGACGACTTGTGTCATCTCTGTCCAACGCTGGGAGCAGGCGCCTGGAAAACACCCCAGCCGCTTAAAGCAAGTGAGCGGGTGCTACCGGTACCGGTACCGGTACCGGTACGACAAGAACAACGAAGCACGCTGGTTAGCCCATGGATGTCCCTTCTTTTAAAAATAGCTACAAACTCATGAACTAGAAAGGAACTTTGAAACGTATCCTGAATCGACGACATCCCTGGCTAGTCGTGATGGGACAGCAGACTTCCGTGCCGTGTTGGAAGCAACACTGGCTACTTGGTTTGCCATTTGCTTTCCTGGCAGCAAGTCGGTTTTTTTAAATGCGCGACTTGGTGTGAAGCGTTTTAGGTTCCTTTGGCTATTCTGGATAAAGCAATGCTGATCCTTTACTTGTGCGAATTGATGTGCTGAGTCAAAGTGTCCCTAACTCCCTTCGGCTCCACGCTTTTGAGGGCATTGGCAAATTTCTCTTGGAAGGCAGACTTCGTTCTTCCCGACGTCGCCGTACACATCAGTCATTCCCAACCAAGCTTTTGGGTCGGTCTTGGCCTTTGCGGCAAGGTCCGAAAGTCGGTTCCATTGCTTGTCCTGGAAATGGCAGTGATCGTGCAACCCTTTATGAGAAGTTTGTTTCTAAGAGTAGTAAGACAGCGTACAGTCCTCTTGGTTTCACTTTCGGAACACTTGGCTCGTCCGAAGATCCAAGTCAGCGTGCAAAACATGAAGCCAGGCCGAAGGTGCACGGTTGACCGCGGATCCACAACGCCAAGAATGGAGCCCAGATTGCGCTGCGCGGAGGGAAGGCTGGAATGGGATTTTCCGAGAGATCAGCTCAAATGACATTTGTATGAATCTGGACAGCTGGACAGTGATAATCCAAGACGTAGAGATAAAAGCTGTTAGACTGACACGTTAGACTGCTGTAGCTGCCCATTGCTCCAGTGAAGAAACTCAACAACAGCCCATTCTGTAGCCACTGACACTGAGAACATCAGTACCATAGCTGGTCATTGGAAGATTGATTCGATTCACGCAAAAGATCAGCCACGCCCGTAGGATTTAGGAGTGGAGCTACGAGAAGATGTCGTCCCATCCACAAGGATTTGACGAGAAGTTTGTTCTTCCTTCTCAATCAGCAAGTAATGCTCCACCAATGACTCCAGGAACTGCAGCGTCGACACTGCTTGACTTTGCCAGTGCTGGCCACAATCTTGAGACGGAGACGGCTCCACAAGGCAATGCTGCGGCGACGCTGATTGCCCGTCCTCCCACAGATCCAAATACCTTTGGCAATGAAGACAATCCACCAATCAACATCAGACCAGCCAGAGTTTCCTTGGATACTAGTGAAGAAAATCAAAGGCCAGAGGAGCCAACACAAGAAACTTCACATGAGCAGCCCCCCACACTCAGCAATGCCGCTGCACTGACTGAGGGAGACCCCGCCGTCATTGCCGCATCCAAAGAATTGCCAAAGCAAACCATGCTTTCTTCCAGTCTGGCAACTCGATTGGAACAGTTGAAGCAATTCAAAGAGATTCATGGACACTGTAATGTTCCTCGCCAGCATGCTGATGACAAACAGAGCAATACGTTAGGCGGTTGGGTGGCTGCCCAACGATACAAGTACCATCAAGGCAAACTCTCCAAGGAACGTATCAACGACTTGCATTCGATTGGCTTCCAATGGGCGCATCAAGGACTACAAAAAGCTCTGTGAACGCAATGAAGATTATCGTGATGAACGGTGGGATAAGATGTTGATCAGTTGTCAAGTAACAAGGGACAAAGGCGAGCGGATGAAAAAAAGCCAACAAACATGGCTCTCACGTCAGCGAGGTGCATTTAGACGAGGAAAAACGAAGAAAAACGTATTCAGAAGTTGCTAGATGCTGGGTTTCCTGCAGTGTGGGTTAACAAAGACAAGCAAAAGCCTTCTCTTGGACTTGGCCATGGCGTTGCGGCAACCTTAAGGGCGGGGGGCGGATACGCACTTTTCCCTGAGAAATGTAGAACCAAAACGGGATGTTTGAATTGCTGATGTCGTGGCCTAGAAATTGCGCTGGCAGCAGGAGCCTTTTGAGGAGCATATCTACCTCACATCCAAGTAGAATCCTGACGGATAGTACATGTATGCATGTCAGCTGTAAGTTCAGTAGAGTAACTGCTGCATTAGCTTATGAATCTATTGGTATCTACGTGTCAGGTAGCTACCAGTCCAGCTCAGCTTCAATAGGCGTCCCAAGAAAGGAGTACTACTATGGCTTACAAACAGACACGGTACAGTACTGGTACAGCCAACCACAGCATCGAGTCACGCCCGCTACACTTGGGGTCTGAATGAGGCGGTTGGCCGAAAGGGAGGTACCGTATGGGCAGCAACCATCAGCCAGGACCTTTTACCACAGCTGGAAATGGTGAGCAATCTCAAAAGGATCAAGTGTTATCCTGGTATTGCCACCACCTTCACGACAACTCGGTCTGCCGCCCGCCCATGAGCCAAACAGCGTGCAACATAAGGTGCTGTTACGTAATGCTACTCATCTGCATCTGGCATGGCTACTTGGGGAGAATGATCACTACTTTTCCCAGCATCATCACAACTATCATCTGAAGAGAGAACTGGAAGCAACAAATGATCTTGATGTCGTTGCGCAACGGCGGCACTAGCATGTTGCCGCTGTTGTTGTTGGCGCATGATACCTTTCCATAGAGTCCCCTCGGACTGCGACATGATGAGATCATCGCTATCATCATCATTCTCCTCTTTGGGACGACTTGGTGGTTTCGTCATCGTCATGTCCGGCAACGGTGGCATCATGATGTCTTCCATATCCTTGAGGCGGCGTGGCAGAGTGGGGCTAATCTTGGACGTTGCCGCTTTGGTATTTTCGTCGGCGCTAATGTGACTGTTCCATCGACTCCGTATGCGATGGATGCGAGTATCGCGGTTGCTGGGAGGCTCCCGCAAACAACTGCTGTTCTCCTCATCGCTAGTCTGATTATCAGTATTGGTAGTACATGTAGTAGGGATGGGACTATCGGTGGAAGGACGACTGGGTGGTTTGGGTACGATATTGGAAATGAGATCTTCTTGACTCCCCCACCGTGTCAATCCTCTGGCCGGACTCAGCGGTTGATGATGATGAGCCATCATCTCCTCGTCTTCCGAGCTGGACCCTTGCGAGGACGCATCCGACGTGATGAGCGGAGCATGGGATCGAGCATTATCCACAACGATTTCCAGTCCATCAAAGGCGGTGAAGGAGAAGAAAGATTCTTCCTCTGTGTCATTGTCGGCCATGGTACGGTATAGTTATTAGTTCCCAGTTTTCTCTCGAACAAGAAGTGAAGCAATGATGTGAGTACCTATCTTGGTTGACTCGGGAAGAACTTCGCCTAATCAAGCAGCGATACCGGAAAGCTAGCTAGCTAGCTACTGGTATCTACAGTAGATGCATTGAGATGAGTGAATGAATGAATGGAACTTTTTATTAGAAGAAGCCTGGAGAAGAGTGAAGCGTTGAGTCAAACATAGGAGTAGATGGCTGCTGTGGGAGAGGACAAGGTTCACTTTTCGAATGATATATTCAACCAACCGCTTCTAGCATCAAAAATGAGACACCCGCCACTAAAGCTGGCATCTTAGATCGTAGCCCACGTAGCATCCCAATCCGTCCCAGCATTGCTTTTGCTCAACACATGTAAAATGCTTCACCACTCGGAAGCGGAGAGGTGTTGGGCTGCTACTGCATCGCTTACAAGCTCACGGCAATCGTTTGAAAGTATAGTTAGCTAGTAGCGTAGCCACTAGATTGCAGATAACAATGTAATGGTAGGTGTCGGCTACCCCCTACTAGTAACACCCCCTATCGATCGAGGTCGTCTGTTGCACATGGTGTCTTTCACGGTTGCAACTGGGCAATAATCAAGCGCTGAAAATGTGAGGCGCGGTCACATTTCGCACAAGCACAAAAGACCCGTAGATACTTAGATTTAATGAATGGTCATGGAGTTTTTGAACAGTATCCTCATTTAGGTCGGTCCGTAAACAAGTTGACTTAAATAGCTACGACTGGACAATTAACACTACACTTTTGGCGATTTAGATATTTTTCAATTGTGAAACATGGATACTGGTACTTTTGAAAAGGAAAATGGAGAATTTTTGAGAACCCACGCAATCAGCATCCCCGACCGCCGCCACAACTACAAACAATAGAAGCCCACCATGAAGATTGCCTTCTTGCATACCCTGTCGAGCAACCAAGCTCTGTTCACTCCCTACACGGAAGATCTACAACGAAAAAGACCCGGTGTGACGACCACTCACCATGTGGACGAAGATTTGTTGAAGAATGCCCGAAAGATCGCTTCCGAGGAGGATAGAGCCAGAGTCACGACTCAGGTCCACCAAGCCTTGTCCTCTATGATAGGCAGTGGCGCCAATGTGGATTTTGTAGTCTGTACTTGTTCTACCATTGGAGACATGGCCGAACGATACACATCCAGTGCTCCCGTCTTGAGAGTGGATCAACCCATGGGACTCCGATTGGGAAATCCGTCCTTGGGCGATGATGCCGAACAAACCACGTCTTCTCACATCCCCGTCTTGCGAGTGGATCGACCCATGGCAGACTGTGCCGTGGGGTATTCCGTCATTCACGTTCTCGCCGCGCTGGAATCGACTCTCGAACCCACCAAAGAGTTACTCGACAAATGTGCCAGTACTGCACATACCCATCCCAGAATTCACATGACGGTCGTTCCCGAGGCATGGTCGCACTTTCAGCAGGGGGATCAGAAAGCATACATCCAAACGATTGCCGATTATATACAAGAAAAATACTCCAACACAGAGTCGTCCCAAGATTCAGTCATTGTTCTGGCACAGGCATCCATGTCTCCCGCTGCAGAATTATTATTGATACCAGAGCAACAATCATCATTGGGTGACAAGGACAAGGACACGGGGATGGCAGAGTTGCCAAGAATTCTCACCAGTCCCTCCATTTGCGTGGATTACCTAGCGGGCTTGAGAGATTGAATCTGAGATCGGCATGAATCTGACCCACAACCCATAGTAACGTACATGGTCACGAAAACCAATTATGCATGCCAGAGCTTGCCCTACAATGGGTGTTACTATGATTATGAACTACTAGCTAGTACCGGTACGACTACAAATACTATAAAGAATGAAGCCATGATTTTGTTTGTAAAGATTGTCTACTATGTGTTATTGTTCTATGTTTGGTTGAATTTTTAAAATTAAAAGATTGTATCATAGCATCAACAAGGATAGAGGTTGGTTGTCGGGTGTCACGGGTATTAACTTTGGACTTTCGTCGCGTGGAGGACGTTCGGACAAGCACTCTGCAATAGAGGCTGCCTAGCACAGGAACCACAAACCTGGCTACCTTCGATGTGACCCTTCAATTGAACCAACTGTATTCATCTCCGCAAATTGTTGTATAGCCCTGCACCCCACCAGATGCTTGCTCATTGTGTATTGTATTGTGTTAGTCCCGCAATCCGTCGTGGAACTTACCTGTTGTCCTAGACTGGAATGTACCGGTCAGGCTTTCTGACTCGCCGTCCAGAAAGAGTTGTTGTTGTCTGAACTGTTGTTTGCTGCTGTGTGTCCATCACAGGTTGTGTCGTCATTGTCTTCTTCTTGCCCTTCACCTTTGGCTTTGTCGAAATTTTCTTGGTGGCCACCGCCCGTCTACGTTTAAGTCTAGGTTGTTGAACCGCCACCCGCCGTGGCTTCGTCTTGATTTGTTCTGCGATTCTCTGAGATGCAATCGCCGCCATGCGTCTCTTTGATCGTCGCAATGTTGATTGTGTTGCGTCCACATTGTCCTCCTCGTCGACTCGGTTGTCGACTAGTGGTTCTTCAGCATCAACTTGTTGTTGTTCCTCGACCAGTGGCTCTTCAGCTACCACTTCGTCGCCAGTCACGAATTCGTAATCTGTATCGTCCGAGGCTACACCAGCCTCCAATTGTAGTGTCATGTACCGCCGCATCAATTCCTTGACAAGGTCTCCACCATCCTTCATCAAGGCTGCGAGAATGTCGTTGGGTACCACTCCAAGTAGCACACCATTCATCATTCGCATCTCCAATACAAATGGCTGTTGTGCATGCACACTGATCTTGAAGTGTGCCACATGCCACTTTTGAACGTATGGGACCACTGCTGTGCATGTGGGAACCACCACTGCTTTGCATGTGATTGTGGCATCGGATGCCATCTTGTCGTCATCGACGGTCGAGACTGTTTCTATTGTCTCAACGTCTTTAGTTGTTGTTGGTTGTTGTTCTACTTCTACTACGGGTGCTGCATCTTCCATGCAGACGTCCTTGACCTTGCGATAGACAAATCGTCGTTTGGCAATCTGTTCTCGCGTATTCAAGGTGCAAATCTCGTCGTCAGCGTTGCGCTGAATTCCACCGTGATGCAAGTGGCACATGGCGAGTTCGAACATGTAAGCGTTCTTTTCGTTGACCATGAACCAGTGGGCGACTTGTTTGTCGTTTCCTTTCTTCACCTGGATGAAACGAACAAGTCCCTCGAGGTCTTGATGCACGGCATCAATTTGAATGTACAGTTTGGCTTGTTTTAGGTATGCTTTGTCGCTTTGGAACCATTTGTTGTTGGTGATCCATTTGGTCACTTGTTGGTATCCGTACTCTTGAATCAACTGCACAAGATCCAAGACGCGTTCGTGGGGTGTGGGTGTGCCGACGGAAAGGAATTGTTGTTGGGCTTCATGCCAATATTCGTTTTGGGCCTGTGGCACATGTTTCTTCATGTCTCGATAGACACGACGGTTTTCAGCTTGTTCGCTCTTGTCAGAAGAGTACCCCACTACAGTGTTGACAGGTGCAAAGGATAAACGGTTTCCATTGCTCCGTTCGGTGTCTTGACCGTAATGGGCCTTCCAGCGAGCGTTGGCTGAATGACTGGGTTTGATGCGACAGCCTTTGGGCCGGTGCTGGTTGTATTTGTCGTATCCGTAGTGACCATGCTGATCCACAGGAACCAGGGAAAGGTCGTAGGCACCTAGGTGCTGCTGGAACTCCACATCAGGATTCGTTCCATACGTGTGCAACAGTGCCGCGGTTTGGACGACATCTTTGTCCAACTCGTCCAGTTGGAATGTTGGGACTTCCTCTGCTGCAGGAACGTCGTTGTCGTTGTTGTTGCCCGTCATCTCCTTGGCGACCTGGAGAACGGGGGTCTTCATGGTGTTGCTGTTGTTGTTGTCGGTGGTCCAGGACCACGAGAGCAGCTTGATGATAGAAGAAGAGAACTTCATTTTGCAATTGATAGGTATTGAATAGAAGATTGATAGGAAAGGTAAAAGTAGACTTGAATAAGGTCTGGGGGGTTGATCTGGCCTAGGCTTATCAACAATCGCGAAAGTCTTCCTTGTTCGGTTGGGTATGCAACTCTAGCAATCCGGTTGAACAAAAAAGTGAGCTCATCATGGTGACATCCCATTTTTCCATCCCAATTTTCAGATGACAGATTCTGCCAGATGGAGAACAACAGGTGACGAGATGAGACTGAGCCACTGATGAGCACTGATTTCATGCTCTATACTACCCAACAACACACTTGCTGGCCTCTTGGAGTAGTCTTGATGATAGCTAGACCCTGGGTTGTTGTTGTTGTCTGATTGCTTGGTCTTGAATGGTGCCAGTGGTTGTTGCGATCTGCGGAGGCTTCGATGCTGTAGCTGCGGAGCTGCTGCGGAGAATCGGCGCCGGGGTCCGACTGTCACTCAATCAGTCATACACGGCTAAAAGAGTTAAGGCTACTTATGACTGGATGACACCATCTTCCGCTGGACGCAGGGCGAGGAGAGAACTTTCAATCGTTCCTTCTTTTCAGCAATCTGGTTGAGGCAAATCAAAGGAAGCCAAAAGAGTACCGGTAAACTACTAGTACCTGGTACAGGTGTACCAGGTCAAACCAGCTCAATTCAGCATCTTGGCTTTCACCACCACCAGAGAGGTCAGATGCTTAGACTGACTTTTGTGCATGGACTTAAGAAATCTAATTTAAATTGCTGCTACAGAATAGAATGCAGTCGGGGTTGGCATGAAGTCCAATTCAAAACTGACTAACGATGAGTTGCAAATCCTGAAAAGAAGGTCAACATCATATCCATTCGTCATCCGATAAGGATTCTGAGGCGTGGTCTGATGAATCCTGTGATGCGTCTTCTTCCTGTGTCTCCAATGTTTGGGTACTAAGTCGCAGTCTTTTGTCTCCTTTTTCGCGCGCACTTCCCTCTGCTTTGCCCGGCAGTGATTCATTGATTGGTTGGTCCGTAGAGCCATCACGGGTTGAGTCCGTCTGCTGAATTCCATTTCCATCATTCAAGGTGACAGTGGCCGTCTCCTGGACTTCTCCCTCTTCAATTGGGGGTTCTTCGGTTGGGGGCTTTTCTAATTGGGGTGGCAGTAGCAAAGCTTGATCGTTTTCCAAATTCGGGGTGGCAACGCTCCCTTGTGAGGAGTCTTCGTCGTGGAGAGTGATGTCTAGGTCAACCGGAGCAGACCTCGGCCCTTCCCGAGAAACCCTCTGAAGCTTGAGCCTGCTTGGCTGGTCCAAACCTGCCAGCTCACTGGGATCATCATCCCTGCTAAGACTCTCGTCGTGGGTGGTGGTGAGATGGGAACTGCTGTCTTCAGTCGGAGGATGATCCGCTTCGAGAATAGCCTGCATCTCGCCAGTGACATTAACAGATTTCCTCAAAGAGGCTTTCATTTTGGCATCTTCCAAATTAAAGCTACTTGAACCAAACTGTTGCGACTCTTCTCGTTCTCCTTCCAGCACTGGTTCGAGCGGGTTCGCAATGCCCCCACTGCGACTCATGTCCATCATGGATGACGACCCATCCAGTGACAGGTCGTGGCTGAGAGCGCCACTGCCAAAAGGAGAGACGAGGCTATGGGATCGTGAAGCTCGTCGCTGTTGTGGCGACGATGGCGCAATCAGCACTGGTGGATTATGATCGGATGAATCCATAGAGTTGCGCAAAGACGCTCGCATGGACCGAATCTCTTGCCGAGCCTGGCGTACAAAGAAGATCTCGGCCAAAGACTTCTTGGAAGTTTCAAAGTAATAGAACTGGAAGAGGGAAATGGAAACAGCCACAGCCAAGACAGCGGCATGTAGGATAAAGATCCCGCCAATGTCTTGCAAGCCCAAGGAAAAGGTATCTCCACCAAAGTCTCCACCTCGGGGTGGCGCGGCAATGCACTCAATCGTCCCAATCTTTCCGAGATGCATCTTCATGGCCTTTTCCACGAATCCTTCGGATATCATCTTGGTCAAGTGATAGTCGAGGACGTGCGATATGAGGCTCGTGCAAAAGACAGTTCCCGTGTCAATGGCAGTGGCCATGCCTGCAGGGACGGGCTGGACAACTCTCTTTTCGGAATTCAAATTACATTCGGGGTTGGCATCAGCATTCTTCTCGTAGATGCGAAATGTATTCATCTGATGTGCTGCCACTTGACAGCTGCCATCTCGGAGGCCTTTGAAGATACCTGCTTCAGAATCTTTTGGGACCAGGTTTAGCTTTCCATACTTTTGCTCTAAAATGGTGGCGAGGACTCCACCCCCCTGGACGCAAATGTCGGCATCAAGAGCCATGGCCTGTTCCATGGAACTGATACGGTAGACATCCACTTGAGGCGACACTAGGAAGGAGGCCATGTTGCTGTGATGTGATTGTCAAAAAGCAAAAAGGAGGAAACAACATCCTGTCAGCAAGACTTATATCCTTTTCATTCGTCCGTCCGACCCTTCCCCTTTCTTTCATGCTTACGCTGTGTACGCCGATCCAACAATCACGGCCCAAAAGGTCCAGGACCAGCTCAAGATCCGGGCCGAGTGTGTCTTGGGTCGAAACTCGAGGTGACCCACAAAGACTAGGGCAGCGTAAAAGATACTTGCCATTGGCTTGTCCTCTAGGTCACGCTCATCCGCCTTTACATCCAAATACTCCAAGCACCAGTACATGAGCCCGGTAAAGACAATGGTGGCACCAATGGTGATCCAGACAGTTACCTTGAAGGGCGACAGGAAGCCCCATAGGTTGACTTCTCGTTTGGATTCCTGCAAACTCTCCACCAGAACAATGGAAGAGTCCCACCACCCCGCCGGAAAGGAAATGCCCAGTTCGGATCTGGAGATGGAACGGCCCCACTTTTCCATGGAGAGATCAAACGTATCTACTCCCCACTTTAAAATGTCAGTCCACGTCTTGTTTTCGCCATCTATCGTGGTATTGAGTGGACTGGTCACGGCAAACGAGTTGCGCCAGGAAAATCCGGCTCGATGAGCGACTTCATCGAGAATCACGGCAAAGAGACCCGGATCATCTCGTCGAATGTGAGGTGCAATCGACTCGTTGTGTTTGCCATTTTCATCCGTTTGCACCAATGTAAAGTACTTGTCTTCGTCGGCGACGCGATAGTTGGTAATGACCGTGGTCAAATCAAGTCCTCGGAGGGCATTGGGAAGAGAGATCTCTCCTTCCCACACGGCCCGTTGTCGTTCACAGACGTTGGTGCGGTGGCTCTCAGAACTGTCAAACTTTGCGACCTTGAACGATGGAGACTCTTGGGCTTGAGCGGTAGACGAGAGCAACAGTACCAGCAAAAGCAATAGCAGGGGAGTGGAGAGACTCGGCGTTGAAGTTCTTGCCGCCATCATCGTCTTGGTTTCTACACTAGCTAGATTGGTGATAAAATTTGGGGTACAGTAGCAGCAATTCGATGCCGATGGAAGATAAAAGGGAGAAGGCAGCACTGAAAAGCAGCACTGATAAAGCAAAGAGACGTTCACTGTTCACTGGAAGTTGGTACCGCTTGCCGCTTGCTCATCGCACTCAGCTTGCACATCGCGTGATGACATACATGAGCAATGAGTTTTCAAGCTATGAGAGACATGAGGGCAGGTGGTTCCCTCGTAGGCAGCGTAAAAAGGCAAAAGAGTACAATTGTCTTACAGTAGTTACCCTAAGTTATGCCCAATGTGCCGACATCTCATGTTTGTTAAATCTCAAGAGCACCTTACCAAGTGATATTTTCACTGGAACACTAAAGCATCAGATTCTGTGGATCCATAATAAATAATTAATAATGTGGTGCCCCTAGAAGAACTCTCTAGAACCGTCCTGTTTCCTGTTACATCTACGTATTAATAATACCGTGCCGGTACACTTCATCAGCTCCACTGGAATTTGATGACTAGATTGGGTACTGATGATGAGTTTAGATATGAAAATATTTACTACTTTGATTACCTTATCTACATGAATTAAAGAAGAGTACTGTACCGGTACTATCATAGCTTAGACAGAAACCAGTATCCTGTATCGGATGGCTTACCGGTAGTTAGATGCTCAGAAAGCATCATTGATGAGTAACTGTTAAGAAGCATCAAAGGGCAGAGAACAGAAAGTACGTACTTTATTTCTAGCTCACTGGATCTCCGATGAGCTTATGAGCATCTCACTCAATAAGAAGTCCAGGCCACGCAGTTCCATTGAAGGTCCATCACTATCTATAAATGAGTACAAAAGTAAGTACTTAACAGGGGCGGGGAAGTGAGAACACGATTGACGGTCCCGGCTTCTGCCAGTTGTAAAAAGGCTGACACCTCAAAACCGATCTTTTGTCAGAAGCTCAGGAGGTCTCTGGTTTTCGATTTCGAAGACCTTCAATGCCTTCATCGGCAGCTTCGGTTGCCACAGTTATTGCACTGATAGTGGCTCATTCGTCAGATCCGAAGGGTCGAGAAGAATTGAGTGACTGTCGAGTTGAGTCGATCAATCCTCATACATATCCCACAACCAAGTTAGTTTGTTGCACCATGACGTTTGTGTCGGCTTCTTCTTGCATGGCTTTGTTGCTGCTGGCCGTTGTTTCATCATCATGCATTCTTGCCCAGCAAGTGCCCACATTGGGGACCATTCCACCCTTTACGTACAATGAGAGCGACGGGACCCTCCATGTGGGCTTTCGCACCAATGTCTGCGACCGTCAGCGCATGTTGATTGACGGAGAGATTGAACTCCGCAATGCCCTCCGAGGTCTCAATCTGTCCGTGGCCATGACCAACTATCAAGGCGTGGCCAGCAACGAAGAAAACTTTTTTGCACTCGACGACACGACAGGTGCCATTAAAGCGACTGATCCAGGATTGTTTGTTGTGATTATGGACGAGATTGCTCGTAGGGCAGGATTGGAATGGCGGAATTCCTTTGCGGCCATTGCCCCACCGCCACCGACGCAATCCTGGAGTGATTTGCTCAAATGGGAAGTGACGCATTACGATATTGCCGCCGATTACTGGGCCAAATCGGTATTGCGCATGTCCGAGGGGATTGCCTTTCCACATGGATGGTACGATGGTTCCATCGTCATGATCAGTCGAGAGGAAACGCAGACAGATCCATTCGACCCGTGGTCCTACATGGTGCCCTTTGAACCCACCGTGTGGGCAGCCATTGTGGTGGCTATTTTTGTCACTGGCTTGACGTACTTTTTCCTGGAGCGTCTCAACAATGCATCGGATGATCGGTACTTGCATGACAAGCCGTGGGTGACCATCTTTTTGGCGGCATTGACATTTACGGGACATTTTAGTTTCCAAGCCAACACGGTGCCTTCACGGTTGGTCGCCATGAGTTGGGGATTCTGGGCCATTATTGTCGTTTCGGCCTATACGGCCAACATGGCATCCTTTCTCGTGGCACAAAATGTCGTCGAACCCCGAATCAGTACCATTGAAGAAGCGCTGCTTTCATCCACACCACTGTGCGTGCAGCGGGGATCCGTCATGGATGACTTGCTCTCGGACAAGTATCCCGACCTCAAGTTGGTACGAAAGGATACCGAGCAGGGCATGTTTGAAGGCCTCGGCTTGGGGTGGTACAATGGCAAGGGAGGCTGTGGAGCGCTCTTGACCAATCTGGGAACCTATGACATTTACCAAGGACAAAAAGCCACCAATAGTGATTGTACACTGGGAAGTGACAAGCGTCTCATATTGAATCTTCCCGCCGGCTTTGCCACGGCGGTGGACTCGGCCATTCAGTGCACCTCCTTGATCAGCTACGTATTGGACGTGCACTTGCAAGAAATGCAACAAGAGGGCTTTATCCAAGAGGCATGGCAACGGCACGTGGCCAAAATATCCGAGGTGACCTGTGGCCCGGAAACCAACACGGGTGGATCCTCCTCCGGAGGCGGAGAGGATGCCAATTCCGATGGTAGCTTCTCCCTCGACATGAAGGCAATGGGGGGCATCTTTTTGAATCATTTTGTCATGTCAGTGGCTGCCTTGGGACTGGCGTTCTGTCAGAGAATGTACACCAAGTACAACAAACCAGAGAGAAAGATGCGGCCCATCAAGGTCGATGAAGCCGTCCACAACATTGTAGAAACAGTGGATGAGTCTCTCAAGACAGTGGCTGAGACGGTGGATGTCTCCATGCGGAGTATGAAGGAAGGCATTGACGGCACCGTTAGAGTGGCCAAGGACACGATGGACGGATCTATGCGACATGTGACGCGTGCCCTAGATGAATCCACCAAGAACGTGATGCAATCCGTGGACGGATCCATGAGAAACATGGTGCAAACCGTGGATGGGTCCATGAGGAGCATGACAGGGTCCATGAGACGCGTCAGTCGTCCTTCCACTCGCAGCTTTCGATGGGACGCGAGCTCCTACGATGATGATGCCAACCAAGAGAACAGCGACTGATCAATATGCATACATGTGTAGTTTAGAACCATCCGAACCCAAATCGAATCGATCGACAGGCCTTATGATGGATGGCACTTCCCAGATTCCCCACGCCCCTCCAAACGGAATGATTCAATCCTCCGGATTCAAAGACTTCCCTCACGACAAGACAACACTAGCTTCCCACGACACTGAAGCATCACTGCCTCCAGCAGCTTGGAACGCCTGAATACGATATCTAGGACAACCGGTTAATGTACAGTAACCCCTTAATTAAGTTTCTCTAACTATGTTCGTTGCTGTGATCTCGCACTCTTCCTTGTGGTTGCTTTATCTATGGTTCTAACGGTTGTTTTCCTCCGATAGCCAGGAAAGGCAACCAAGCCCTTGTGCTTGATTGCATATTGGCGCGAATCCCCCTTGATAGGCCCGAAGACGAAAGGTTCGTTTCTGGGATGCATCGGAAATTTGCTCCAAGCCCTTGTGCTTGATGGCATACCGGTATTGGCGCGTATCGCCATCCCATTTTCCCCTTGATGGGCCCGAAGCCAAAATGTTGGTGGGTGGGAAGCTTTTGCGCCTCGAGCGATCCTTGCTGCTCTGCTATGATATGCTGTACTGTCCCAATGAAAGGCTGAATGTTCGAGCACCACGTGTCCCTGCGTCATTTGTTGGCTCCCTTGCTGCAGATCTC